GTTTAGGGTTTAGGGTTCAAAGCCTTGCAGCACTTTGCAGCCAAACAGGTGGGTGGTGTCCTGCTGTCCATGCGGGCTCAGCTTTGCCCCGGCGTGGCCGCTGGGCCCTAAATCCTAACAGCCTACTGAGTTCTTGTTCAGGAACTTAAGCTTTTACAGGAAGGAAACGATATGGTTTCACTTCTCAGTGCACCTGGCATGACTCAAGCCTTCAGCGCCAAACCCAAACCTCAACGCCCTAGACCCTAATCCTTAAACCCTGAACCTTGGACCCTAAACCCTAAACCCTACACCCTCACATGTAAGGACCTGGACACCAGACGCGACGAAACCTCCTGGAATCATTACCTGCTGCATCTGCCGTGGCAGCAAGTCGACTATTCGGGGAAGCTGGCGACTTGACTAAGACTTTTTGCGGGCTTTAGGGTAGTAGGGTTTTCAATGTTTTTGGGGTTTAGGGTTCAGTAGGATTTTACAGGGTTCTGGGCATTATTGGGGCTTATAGGGCTTTTGTGGGGGTGTTCCACAACCGTTCACTGTCAGGGCTTTATTGCTTTCGAGCTGTCCGAGCTGAGGGTTAGAGCTTTTGGGTTTGGGGCTTGGGGTTCGGGGGTTCTAGAGCGGGTGTTCGGTTCGCAGGCTTCAGACAGAGATGTACGGCCTCACAGCTTCGTCCTTTGGGGCTTAGGGATTGCAGGGTCGTGGAGTGCGGGTTATTTCGGTGCTGCGCTAGTTGGGGTTTGGCGTGCTCGGGGTTCAGAGTTCTTCTGCAGTGGTGACTCCGGGATCGTCATCCAGTTGATCCTGGCAAAATGTCCCTGAATGTCACTCGTATTCTAATGTAGCGGCCTAAATTATTGCCAATACTATTTTGGGGGTTCCTTATTATCATTATAGTGTAATTTACCCCAAAACCCTCTTCTAATTATTAAGGCCCCTACATTACTAGATCACCCGTGCCGTTCCAGGTCTGGGGTAGATGGGGAAGATATCGGTGTCATCCCGCTCCCAGAGAGCCCAATACCCCTTAAATAAGGAGTATACCTTAAAGTATAGGAGCTTAATATTATGATTTAAGGTATATTCCTTTATTAAGGGGTATTGCGCTCTCTGGGGTGTTAATTAAGACTCCGCCCAAGACCCCAAAGAGGCCGTGTCGGTGGCTGTCGATGCGCGGAGCGAAGACGTCCGGTACGAGTTTCGGATTGGCGAGAAGTCCTATCGAACCGGATCTGTGTCGTGCGAGTGACGGCAAAAGGTCCACGGTGAGTTGTCAGGCAGACCCAAACCCTAAAGCCTAAACCCTAAACCCTTTAAAGGCCCTAAAGCCTGAAGAACGGGACGCCCCGAAAACCCTGCCTTTTTAGACCTTACGACTGGGGGAGAGAGCCTCCGTAAAAGAGAGCCAGGGCCCCCCACCATATGGGTAGTTCTCTAAATGAGGGTCCCTTTTAGGGTTCCTTTGCAAAGGGTGCCGTACCATATTGGGGACCTAAAAAGGGGACCCTACTTTAGAGAGCTACCCCTATTTTTCCATGGCGTCTTTTTGCAGTGCCGGAGAGCAGCTAACTAATGTAGTTAGAATGGGGTTTTGGGGGTTCCTTCGTATAATCATAAGTTATAGCATACTATACCCCCCAAACCCAATTAACAAATATTTAGGCCCCAATATTTAGGTGCAGTAAGGCTCAAGCTTTTATGCTAAACACCACCCAGGACCCTAAACTCGGAAGCCTTGGTGACCTTCTTACCTAGTCTAACCAAAGCGTCGAACGCAATCCCCCCCAAAAGAAAACAACCATGGTCCACTGAGCTGGGTCCCCTATCTTTCGGGTTTAGGGCCTACGGTAGGGCCCGATTGCGCATGGTTGAAGGAGATACCTGGTACCTGAGTAGTTACCAAGATCATTCCCTAGTCTTCCTAATTATAGTTACTGTATAGTCCCAAAACCCTAAGCCGTGCTCACAGAACCCCTATGGTCGCCCTCGTAGAGCCTTTGTAGCAGCCCTAGTCTAATTACCGAAGCCCAAACATGTTGGGTTCCCAGCTCTGGAAGTTTGATGTTTCCGATGTTCTGCTCGGTCCGTTTGGGGCTTTGGTCCTGGCGTTAGGGTTTAGTTTAGGGTTTTTTGGCCAGGGGTCTGGGTTTGTTGCTCTGGGCTTTAGGGTTTCGATTTTGGGGTTAAGGGCCTTTAGGGTTTGGGGTTCGGGGCTTGAGGGGGTGAAGGGTTTAGGGCTTGGAGTTTTAAGGCTTAGGGTAACATGTAGGCGAGCAGAACGGCCCTCAATTGGGGTTTACTACTTTTGACTATGCTACTATACTATACTACACTATGCTATACTATACGAAAAAAACCAGACCAGACTATACGGCACCATACCATACTTCACTTCTTTATATTCTTGCATATTTACCCCACTAGACCGTACCTATCAGAGTTATGAAGGCCCGGTTTGAGCTACGATTGAATGATCAATGCCGCAGCATCTCGGGTCCAGACGATCGGTGGCTGCAGTCAACATCTGCATGCATCGTATAGGGTTCAGGGCTTAGGGTATAGGGTTTACGGTTTAAGGTTGAGGGTTCAGGGCTTAGGGTTTAGGGCTTTGAGTTTAGGGTTTGGAGTTGATGCTTGACCCTAACCCGCACAGCCAGAAACCGGACTAAATCTCCCAACTTGCCAGCATGTCTACCTGCACTAAGAACCCTGATGCCTTGCTGAGCCTGCATAAAGACCCAACCGAAAGACTTCAACCCCCCCTATATATGCACATGCATATACACATACATATGTATATATGTGTATATATATATATATACATACACAAATATAGATGTATCCACACACACACACACACACTTTCAATCACAGCACAATCAAGCAAGGATCCAGTCCTACTTTCCTTCTATACTCCAAGGGTGTATTGCTCAATTAAGGTGTTTTGGTGCCTCAAGGCATGGCATGATCTCCGTGGACCCATGGAGGTTCCAGTCTTCGATCCAGATCCGGCCGTGCCCTGCCTGGGATGTGTAACATAGAAGCCAACATGATTAGCAGCATCTTCCTGCTTCCTATCTTTATTGTACGATAAAGCAGCCCAAAACCTTATTCTATTTATCATGCCATTAAGGCCCCTAGATCAGTTTTGGGGGCCTTCCTGATTAGAGTAGGCTTCGAGGGTTGGTATTGCAAAAAAGGGCACTTTACAGGGATACCCTTCCCCTGCCCAGTGCCTAGGCTTCTACGGAAGAGTTTTGCTGGGAATTGTTCGCAGGCTCTTTCCCTAAACCTAAACTCTAAACCCTAGAAGCCCTAAACCCTAAACATCCCCAAACCCTAAACTCTAGGGTTGGACCAGGAGTTTCAGTTGCAGGGCCTTTTTACGGTTTTGGGACCTCTTCCAGTGATGGTGATGACCCCATTTCGAGGCTAGGCCCGGAGCCTGCCCCAAACTCTAGCCTGCAGGGTTTAGGGTTGGGGGTTTCGGGCTTGGGACTTAGGGTTCAGGGTTCATAGGGTTTATAGGGTTTATAGGGTTTTATAGGGTTTATAGGGTTTCTAAACCTTATAGGGTTTATAGGGTTTCTAGGGTTTCTAGGGTTTCTAGGGTTTAGGGCCCTAACCCCATAAACTGAAAACCTCTAACCCTAACCCCTAAACCCTAAACCCCGTCCTGCAAAGGCTTTGAAGCCGGGTAAGCTGCCCCATTGGGCCAGCAACTTGGAGGAGAATGCGCCTCTGTGGCAGCATGAGAAGCGCCCTACTATAGGGGCCTTAATAATTAGAATAGGGTTTGGGGGTATATTATATTATTATAGGCTTTTGAGGAACCCCCAAGACCCTATTCTAATTATTAAGGCCCCTACATTAACGCCGAACACCCCCTCACTTTCGGATTTAGGGTTTTGGAGGAGTTTCGGGTTCCTAAAGCCCTCAATATAGGGGCCGTATCATGACCTATACTATTTTGGGGGTTCCTTACAATACTTATACTCTAATCATTAAGGTCTCTACATTATCCTTCTTTTTTGGTTTTAGTTTCCTGCTTTCCACGTTCGGGTTTCTGCGTCGTGGAAAAAGGAGTCGGTAGAATTTTCAAGTTTGGGGTTAAGTTTTTGCCTTTTAGGTTTAGGGTTTAGGGTTTGGTGATTGTGACGGTGGTGGCGAGGATCATAATGGCGATGCTGTGGCGATCACTTTCAGGGCGATCCTCATGGCTCTGCTGTGAGGTTTGACTGTGCGTGCCCGTGAGGAGGGCGGGCTTGGAAATTCTGACCACAGTCCCCGGAGAGCTGCATAATCATAGAAGCCCAAACAATTACCAATATTCTTCCCGAGGGTTGCTTATCATAAGTTTTCTATAACGGAGCCTAAAACTCTCTTCTAATTGTAAATGCTCTACATTACTCATACCCTTCCATGAAGTGATGTGCCTTAGATTGTAGACGGGTCTTTCTTTGTACCCCTTAGTCAAGCGGTAAAAAGCTTTGTGAAATAGTAGTGCTAAACCCTAAACCCTAAANNAACCCTTATTCCCAGAACCCTAAACCCCTGAAGCTACCAAGAGCTCGGCAAGAAGCCCCCTACACGCCAGAAGCCCGAAGCCCCACGAGCCCAAAACATAAGCATTGTAGGAACCCTACAAGGAACCCCCAAACGAACTCTAAAAGGAACCCCTTAAAAGTAACCCCTTTAAATGGAACCCTTTAAACGGAGCCTAACCCGTAAAAATAACCCTTTATAGGAGCCCTTCAAAGGCCCCTTCAAGGAACCCTTGATATGAACCCTCATAGAAACCTTGCGGGGCACCCTTCTCGGAACCCTTAAAAGGAACCCTTTGTAGGGGTCCCTTAAGGGAACCCCTTCACAGGAACCCTAAAACGGAGTCCCTACAAGGACCAAACCCTAAACCCCAGGGACCCAAAGCCCAAACATGAGGTCGACAAGAAGCTGCTCATCGTCCTCCGAGACGGCCGGAAGCTCTTGGGCTGGCTGAGGCCAGGGACTTCGGCGTTGCAGACGTGGCAGGTTCCTTTAAGGGTTCCCGTTTTTAGGAGTTCCTTTTTTAGGAGTTCCTTTTTTAGGAGTTCCTTTAGGAGTTCCTTGAGGAGTTCCTTGAAGGGTTCCTTTTTTTAGGAGTTCCTTGAAGGGTTCCTTTGTTAGGAGTTCCTTTAAGGGTTCTTTTAAAAGGGTTCCTTCAAAAGGTTCCTTTAAAAGGGTTCCTTTACAAGGGTTCCTTTATTTAGCGGTTACTTTTTAAGGAGTTCCTTGAGAAGGTCCCTTTACAGAGTTCCTGTCAGGGTTCTGTAGAGTTTTCTTATATGGGTCATATGCAGTCTTCGACTAGAAAACAACAGTCATTTACAGGATGTAATGAATACAGCAACACAGAGGCCGCCTCCGTCTCCACAAAGTCAGCAGAAGTAGAGCTTAGGGTTTAAGGTTCCTTTAGTTCGTTTGAGCCTTCGAGTTTCAGGGCCCGTTAAAGGGGTTCGATAGGGGTTTTAGGGTTTGGGGTCTTGGGTTTCTACAGGCTTCGATCAGGGTTCCTCTGGATTTTCGATAAGGGTTCTTTGGGGGTTTTACGTTTTAGGGTTGTTTTAAGGCTTTTAAGGGTTTCGGGGTTTAGGGTTGAGGCTTCTGGTCTCGGCTCGGTAGGGCTCTTCGGATTTAGGGCCTAGGGCGGAGGGTTCTGTTCCTTTGCCTTGCGGTTTGCGATTCTTGTTGCAGGGCTCCTGCAAAGCTCTGTCAGGGATGAAGGGCCCTTAAGCCCTAGAAGTGAGCGCTCAGGGGGGCAAAGTAGGGTTAGATTAGGTTGTAGGGTTTAGTGTTTAGGGTTGTTTAGGGTTTAGGGGTGTTCCTCCTAGGACCTTTGACCAGTACGCCAACCTTTTGGTGGAGCACATCGTGGAGCGGCACATACTCTTCGAGGCAGGTTAGAGTTGCGTAGAGCTTCCGTTAAGGAGCCCCTAAGCCCCATGCCCGAAATGATATTGAGGAGCCCTCTACAATGTCAGGCAATGGGGGAATGGATCCCTATGATAGTCCCTTATAGTAGTCCCTATAACCCATTCCCCCATTCCCTACTAAGCACCAGACAGTAATTGCAATGTCTTGCGCTCAGTGGCTTTGGGTTTAGGGTTCTATGAGGCAGTTGTGGAAGAAGGGCTTTTTTCGGAGGTCCGCCGGATCCGTCGGGTGCAGGTCTTCAGGGAGCCCGAAACCCAAAACCCAAGCTTAGTTTCTCGGGTTGCTATAGAGGCCTTAATTTTCACCACTGCTACCTTGGAGTCTCCTTATAATACTTACAGTATAGCATATCCCAAAACCCTGTTGTAATTATGAAGGCCCCTCCATCCGGGTTTAGGGTTGACGGTTTGCGACACTAGGCCCTGTTCTTTGCTTGTTTTGGGGACCCCCGAAGGCTCAGAAAGAATCCTACACCCCAAGAGCAGCACCCGCCCAGAAGAACAGAGCCTTACTTTGAGGGTCGGGAGACTTAGTAAGTAGGTAAAAAGTAGACTTACACCTATCCTAAAAGGGACCCTAATTGGGGTTGTAGTACTTGTACGTCTATAAAATAACCATTTACTAAGTCCTCCGACCCTCCAATTAGAAGGAGCCCTAGTTCTTCATGAGCCCAAGGGGGCCCTGAAAAGGAACCCCTCAATGAATTGAACTCCGAAGCCCTAAACCCCAAACCTCGTCAAAAGGAGCCCCCAAAGCTCCGAAACTAATCCCTAAACCCTGAACCCAAAACCCTCAGGAGAAGGTCTACGCCGACATCTACCTGGGCACCCTATTGATCCGAGGAGAGAACGTCTGCCTCTTTGGCGAGGCCTCCCCTTTCCCCCACCGAGGATAGTTTTGGGGTGTAGGGCTTCGTTTAGGGTTCAGCGTTTAGGAGTTTAGGGTTTAGGGTTTAGGGTCTGGGAGTTTATAAAGCTAAAGGCTCTGCACAGGCTGTATGCCGCCCTATAGGGCTTTTCAGCGTTCCAGTAGAGTTGTTTGGCCCCGGGTTTTGTTTAGGGTGTGGGGGGGGCTCTCCGGGTTGTTTGGGAGGGTTTGGGACCGGAGTGATTCAGTAATATAGAAGCCTGGATAATTACCAATATTATTCCTTGTGGTTCCTTTTTTTTGTTTTGGTTATAGTATAATAGCCCCAAAATCCTATTCTAACTATTAAGGCCCCTACATTTGGAGCCTTCCATCGGCCCAAACCCTAGTGTAGTCACCCAGGCCTCTGCCTCGGGGTTTGTGGCGTTTCAGCACCTAAACCCGAAACCCTAAACCGTAGACCCCTAAACCCCTAAATCCCTAAACCCCTAAACCCCTAAACCCCTAAACCCCTAAACCCCAAACCCCAAACGCTTGCGTTACAGCACTACGCTCGGCTTTATTTTCGCAGCCAGATTTGAAGTCTTAACCTAGCGTGGTTTAGGGCTTATAGGGTTTAGGGTCTGAAAAACCTTCAGGGTTTATAGGGTTTATAGAGTTTTGCAGGGTTTGTAGGGTTTGTAGGGTTCAGGGTGTAGGAGTTTAGGAGTTTAGGAGTTTATAGGGCTTCGAGTTTTGGGTCCCCAAGCTGACTGATTGGGGCGATTGGGGTGTGTTAGGGCCATTTGGGGTTCAGAGGGATTTAGGGCCTAGGGCTAGACTGACTAGGTTTCAGGCTCTTGCAGGTCTTATCGATATTGATTGTAGACGTCCTCTTCAGCGTGGGACCAGTAAGAATACACTTCCTCGGTGGAGATCCTAGGCAAACAAGGGAACGTACATGCCATTAAGTTTGGAGGGACAGGTCCTTCTTGCATTCTTGCAGCCTCATGTACATCTAGCTCTTGCAAACACGCAGTAAAGTGTCCCAAGCCCTAAACCCTAAACCCTACACCCAATCCCTAAACTCTAAACCCTAGACCAAAAGCCCTAAGCCCTAAGCCCTAAGCCCTAAACCCTAAACCCTAAACCCAATCCCTAAACTCACATAGAGCACTATAGGAAGCCCTACAGCGCCATCTAGAACCCTACAAAAGTCTTATATCTCAAATGTGAACGCAGGTGGACGAGCAGGAAGAGGCGAACAGCTGCCTACAACAGGCCTTTGCTGGGAAGCTTCTGATAGCCTGGGACTCACTAGATCTTCCAATATCCCCTAATGAAGGAACCTGCCGTGAATCATAATATGAGGGCCTATTCTAGTAAAATTCTCAATCTTGGGATATTCGAAGATCCGCATCCTTGACGGTTTGCTTTTGAGGGTGTCACAAGGATTCAGTAAGGGTTACATTCGGTTTTAAACCTCAACCCTAAACCCTAAACCCTAAACCCAAGCCCTCAAACCTAAGCCCTAAACCCTGAACCTTAAGCCCTAAACCCTGAAACCTAAGCCCTAAACCCTGATCCCTAAGCCCTGAACCCTCCAACCTAAGCCCTAAACCCTGAAACCTAAGCCCTAAACCCTGAAACCTA